CGATGTTGAGTTGATTGGCCCGGGGCCATATTGGAATTAACGGCGAATGCGCCTTTGTGGCGGATTGTTATCTTTGACGTGAGTGTACGGCGGTGACGCCGAACTTTTTTCCTCCTGGATCTTGTCATCTTCTATTTTGGACTTTCTTTCCCTCAACTCTCTCTCTTTCTCTCTCTTTCTTCTCGAAAGACGATGCGTCTGAATGATTGTCCCTCTCTTGAATGGGAATAAGTCGGCATCCTGTTTCTGTGTGAAAGAACTTCTTACGGAACTCTTCCATTAGTTTCCTGGGTAATCCTCCTACGCAAGGATCCCGTCTACTTGTCTTGTGAACGGTGGATGCGTGTGTACCGTGCAATGCGATCCATCTTTTCCTGTGAAAGTCTCATTTTCRCACCTTCCACAGTGAATSCATGTATASAGATGCRTGACTTTTCGGATTGATTAGAYGAGTGTCRTCGGGATTTTGTTCGAGAATACAAGAGTGTTTAGATCTATAGTTCYGAACGCACTGCGCATGCCATCTGCCTTATGCGGCACGACGTCAGCAGCCACGSCACCATGCGACCTTGAGAAACAAGGCGCCGRAAACCAATRTTGTGTTGAACTRAGTCGCGGGTCRRTCCCTTAGCCCTATGCATGATGAAGCTSATGTGTGTCTGCTCCCTCGTRTGTCAAGAAGGATAGATTGAGGGTCGCATGAATGATTTTTGTCCTTAATGACGTCTCTGGATATAWGTGATTGATTGATATGTGGACTGACAAGCACCCTGCGATTGGGCGCCAGCCTCCCGTATCTTCCATCCCAACGCGACGTTTTCCCTATGGTGAGGAAAGGACACGTGTATGTGAGTGGGACGTACGAGAAGCCGTCGCACAAATCGGCGGGCAATATTGCTTCCCTCTGGCCAACCGTTGTTCTGGGTTCGTAGAYGCCGGATTTGTCATTATCGATACGCAYTTTCCACCCTACTCGATATTGTTGCYGTTTAACGAGYTGATCGTCATTCCGTGGACGGCAGTGGCGCCCCATTGGCCCCGCACTCTGTGCACGGAGTGCCAGCGTTTCGATCGCTACGAAGCGAAGGGCTTCCACTACCGAATACGGAGTGAGGACGAGCATAAGGAAAGAGCCACTCGGCTGAGACTATCCACGTCGGATTCGAAACTGACCAGCGAACGACGACGAGATCTCATACGAAAACGAGACACGCGAAGCGTGCCAGAGCCTTTCCGTTCTAAACGACGGGCTGTAGCCCGGTGGGAAGCCCGACAGTACTTTCTGGATTGAATTTGGATCGTTCTGTTTTTGCGCCATGTCCGCGTGCGCATTCCGCGACGCGCGAAATTAATCGACTTGCTTCATCGGACCATCACGGGGGATTTCAGTTCCATCTGTGTCCCCACACTCAATTTCCAAAAATCCTTGGCACACCCCATCTTGCTGTTTTTCTGGGCCTCTTCCGCACATCTCACACTCCGAACGAAAGACAGCACACGGGCGTGAGGTTGCGCGTCACAGACGTGGCGGCTAATTGGGGGGGGAAGCGGGGGTTTGAGAGGTAGATTGGGGTTGTGGAACCCTGGCCCCACCCCCTCAAAGGGAAAAAAAAAAAAAAACAATTTATGGGGCCGGAGGGGGTTTCGTTATGATTCTTATGAATGCTGATAAGATAAAAAAAAAACATAAAAGAACTGCTCATTTTTTTTTCCCTTCATTGATTGATTGATTGATTGATTGGTGGGGGAGGGGTTCCCCAACCCCCGCCCCACCAGCCACGCACGCACACACACACACACACACACACAGAGTTTTATGTTTGTCATTCTTTCCTCTGTCGTCTTTCCGCTCTCCGATTTTTTCTAAGTTTTTTTGTGTGCCCAAGTGAGCACCCTTAAGTATTGCCAAAGAGTCGGTGGTTTCTCGTTTGGATCGTTCAATGCTGTGATGTCTGTGCTACTGACATTTTTTATGTTGTGTCTTATATGAACGCGGCTCGCTGCATCCCAAGGTGCAGTGGACTCATCTCACCAAACAGACACACACACACACACAAAGATACAGACAAGTGAGGCAGTGAATATTTCCATGTTCTAACCGAAGATTCATTTGATTTCGCTAACCCTGTGGATGGAAGTGCGTGAGGGCAGACGCAGGGTTGGAGAATTACCTATTGGCCGGTGCGTTGCTCATCCTATCGATGGAAAACTCTCTCTCTCTCTCTCTCTCTCTCTCTCTCTCTCTCTCTCTCTCTCTCTCTCTCTAACACACACACACACACACACACACACACAATCAGTTTTAGGTATGTTTGTTTTTCCTCTTTCTCCTATTTTTTCTAAGTACTTTTTGTGTCTCTACCCGAGCACCCTCTAGCAGTGCCAAACAGTCAAGGGGTCCTCGTTTGGAGTGCCTACTGCACTCTAGCAGTGCCAAACAGCCGGAAAAAGGARACCGAGGAGAATGTGGCGCGTCGGAATCCCATGCACCATAACGCACACAGTTCGTGACAAACTGTAGACCGTGTTCTCCTGGACATCCGTTAAAACTGGAACGATACTGAGATGAATAGCATGGCCCCTACGCAAGGATGAGACAAATAAATTGACAAATGGTTCAAGAAAAAAATAAAATAAAAAAATGTAGACCGCTGACATTTCATGAGGAACTATACAGCTACCATGCCTGGACGACCGTTTCAAGAGAATAATTATTAAGCTGTTAAATTGAAATCACACGCGACTTCCACTTCACTACCAGCATGCATGCATAGAGATGTCCATGGCAGAAGAACTTTCACAAACTTAGAATCAGCAATGAGCATGAGATGGCACACAACGCCCACACAGAATACTCAGATATGTGGCCCGGGCCAGGAACTCTGAGTCAGTAAAAGTCAACAACTGTTGCAACTTGCGCCTATGGCCGCTGAACACTGTCTGAAGTCCCAACTGAACACTGTCTCCACCATCGGTCTCACCCTCACTCACGCACACGTGCACGAAGATCTTCCCTGCATGTCCACCCGTCACACCCACACTCTACTCTCCACACTCTGTTGATGTCAGCAGCTTGGCGGCTATGGCTGCCGTTGTCTTCCTCCTCTTAGCTATGGCCGCCTTTGTCCTCCTCAGCCCACTTCAGCTTCCGGCACCCGCAGACCTCCGGTGCACAAGTCGCTGCAAGTCACTTCAGCAGTGCTTCCGCATGGCTCACAGGCAAATGAATGAATAGCTGAGCGCTGCCTCTTTATATCTACTGTTTGGTTGGTGGTCTGGCCTGCCATGGGTCCCAGGCCCAAGCGTGTGCAGCCCCACCTAGTACTTCCTGACTAGACTAGGTAGGAATGGGACTGTAGACTGCTGACTGGACTAGGTAGGACTTACTGACTGACCACTAGAATCCTGAAGAGTCAACCAACCGCTTCTAAAAACTCCTAGTTTGCTAAACTGACCCTTCGCAAGGCCTTAGGGCTACTTCCCACTTGCTGACTCAGCTACAGTCAACTGTCTTCTGGAAGGGCCTAGACTAGACTGAACCGTAAGACACAAGACTGCCAATTCGAAGGTCAACTAACACCCCGACTAGCTAACCTAAGGGATTTAGGGGCAGGTCGTGGGTTCAAATCTCACACAGGGTTACAGGGTCAATGTACAGGGCTACGAGGTAGGTCTAGGGATCGAGTCCAAATGTCTGCATCTGTCGGGTAAATTGGGTGAACCGTTTCACTTTGCAGGTATCTGCTACGAATCGAACGGGTATTCCTTTCAAGAAAAATTAAAAACACTGTAATTCAACCAGCTCTTCGTGAGCAAATTACAAGAATACCCGTTTTGCTGACTTTTTCTGGGGGGAAACGGCTCCTGAGTCACCTTGTTAGTTTTATAACAGAGGTACCAGCTGGTTCCCTGTTAGGTGACAGAAGACAAGTATGGGGATAATTGGTGGAAAGCCCCAACGCCGAAACGTTTTCAGGTTTGGGCGCCCAAAATCCAGCCGTTTGGTACTGCCCAACAACACTGCCACATGCATCGCCAATAAACGCCAACTGCAAGAGGGTATTTGGCCTGAGGCATGACTGCCGACACGTCGGCTGTATACAAAACAAGGTCCCGGGGGGGCTTATCTGTATACGAATAGGTGTATATGGTACGAAAGATGAATTTTCTGCGGATCCCTGCACTACCTGCAAGACAAGGGTGCGAGAACAGCCAACATTAAATTATTGTAAAGCAGAGAGCACACAAACCTACCCAGAAGCGATAGGCAAAAGGAAGGAAACAATCAAGGAGCGGGGAAAATGAAGAGCCGGCGTTCGAGTTACCCACAGAAGACAGACCGAGCGAGATATTGAGCAAGCTCTGAGATGCACATATGGAGAGAGAGAGAGAGAGAACGCATGAAAACAAGGAAGAGCTGGCGTTCTAGTTAACCCAAGAAACGAGAACGAGCGAGATATTCTGCAAGCTTGGAGATGCACACATTGAGAGAGAGAGAGAGAGAGAGAGAGAGAGAGAGAGAGAGAGAGAGAGAGAGAGAACATGAAAACACAAACGTTTGTAGCAAATTTGATAAGCTATTATTATCTGTTCCAGCGGGACATGGTCTTTAATTTTTCAGCCACCAACATCATTGAGTCGACGCGAAACACCACCGTCGTCCACACCACTGAAGATCAGCTAGCACTTCAGCAGTGCTCAGGTCCCTACAGCTCTACTAGCGAACAGATACGGATCTATCATCTATGCTATTCAATGAACTATAAAAATGCTTTTGTGGCCGGACCTATTTCACGTAATCACTCCACACTCAGATTTACGGCTTTCCTAGAGCAAACATCCATTGGCGGCAGAGAAAATGTTCCCTGCAGTACGCACCAGAGGTTAAACTATCTTAACCAGTGGCGAGGATCCAAAAATAGGTTAACATACTGACGCCCCTCTCGGTATGACCAGGCGTAGATCTTGCGTGAGCTTCCCCTTCTGACATATTCGTTGTGAGGGTTTGAAGGCATAACTGTGATGATGAACTCCCAAACCCATTTATGTCCACCGCCACTCGACGGCAGATAGCGCCACGTTCGCCAGGACTAGCTATCCACTTTCCTGTTTCCTCGTGCCACTCAGTACTTGAATCCACTCTTCGCAAAGACCCGACGGCAACAACCCATGGTTCATTGGGCACCTCACTCTATCTTCCGCCTTGTCCGACGCCGCGGTCTTCTCACCGCCTGCGCCTGAATTATCGAAGACGTCTCGAAACATTCCCTTGCACCATGGACGACGACGAACAGCTGAGTGACGTCGAGAGATCCCAACCGCCAGGGCCTCGTCTGCCGCCATCACATCAGAAAGCCGCCTTAGATTTCCCTTGACACGCACTTCACCCTCCTGCCGCTCCGTCAACAGCGAAACTGTTCCCTCTGTCAATCCAGTTTGCTTGTCGCCGCCGTTCCGGCATTCCCATCCCACGCCATCCACGGGACCATGCGGTGAGCTTGCTTGCTCGCCCTGACGAATTGAGACCGCTACTAACTCAACGCGATTTGCAGCATCCAGCGATAGCTCGGAACCAGAGGACGTGGGAAGATCAAATACAAGTCGCGGAGAGGCTTCTTGTTCCGGAGCCTTCAACAAACACGAGGTGCGCGTCAACCTCTCCCATATCTCACCACCCTGTTTGACGGCATCTTCCATCTCTCTTTCGTTTCCGCCACCCAAGCGTGGCGAGACCAACGATCCCACCGGGATTAGATCCGCAGTATTCGGTAAACCAGCGGGATGGGAGTTTTTCACCGCCAGGTTTGCACAGCATCTCCCGCGGCGCGCACAATCGACTGCTTCGAGGCCAACGTCGGCTACGAAAGGGTGCTGAAGGAGCTTGGAAGCTGACCACCTGCCGGACGGCTCCCGGAGCAAGCACTTGGAGAGAAAGTCTTTGGCCTCGGATGACAGATGCGGGGGGAAAGCAGGAACCTCGTCGGTGCACGCGATGCGGAACAGCGCTGACATGGCGTCCTCCACGTCCGTCCAGGGCGCTCTGCCGGTGGCCATCTCGATCACCGTGCAGCCCAACGACCAAATGTCGGAAGCCGCTTCCATCGTGCCGCTCTGGCCGGCTACCTCGGGAGCCATCCTTTGAACAGTGCCTGCGAGGGATACGGAAGGTCTAGGACAATGGCTGACCTCCTCTGGCGATACAGTACAGAGCCTGATGGATGAGCCATGCGATTGGCCATCGATGGAAGCGCCACGGTTCCCCCAGACGCAAGCTGAAGCACCGAAGTCCGAGAGCTTGGCAGTTACCCCACCCTCCTCGTCGACCACCACCAAGACGTTCTGACCTTTGACGTCCCGATGCACTACGCCCTGGGAGTGCGCGTGCTGCAGTCCACGCAGAATCCCTCCGCAGCATCGCCGGATCATAGATTCGTCCAACTTTCCCCCGAAACGCTTAGAGAACTCCGCCAGGCTGCCCCCGTTCGCCAGCTCCAGGARCAGGTTGCGCTCCGTTGACCCGTCCTGGCCTACTGTCCAGTCGTCCCCAAGGTACTTTACCACGTGAGGAGTGGGACCCAGCCGCCTTAGAATGGTGATCTCGTTCTCTAATGCACGAAGCTCGGCCATCGACGCACGCGCCAAAGGGCTTCCTGGATCGCCAACGGCCTCTGGATTGATGCCTACGGTCTTCACAGCAAACACCGCGCACGACCGTCTGTCAAGCGCGTGATGCACCCGCCCAAACGACCCTTGCCCAAGGACGCTGCCACGAACCCAGCAGGATGATCCCCTCTCTTCGCTCCTATCACAGCCTGTCAGGCCGTCGCGTTCGGCGGAACAGCCATTTGCTTCCACCCTGACGATTGCTCCACGGCCATGCGTAGCCATGATAATGGTGCACGCTTGAGCGCAAGGCAGAGTTATGTTACGCACACAGAGAGAGAGAGAGAGAGAGAGAGAGAGAGAGAGAGAGAGAGAGAGAGAGAGAGAGAGAGAGAGAGAGCAGTTCGTCTGTCTTCAGTCTTCAGATGCAGCTGATCGTGGCTCCAACCGAAGGACGGAGCCTGATTTAATCAGAAAAAGTCGAAGTACGTTGGCTGCAAGAAGCCACAACGGCGATGTTTCTGAACTTAAACTTTCCAGGGCGGGAAAGTGAAACGATATTCTCGACCAGCTGATGAGGACTGTTCTGCACGTTGCTGACGCGCGGTGGGAACGACGGGCAGTGACGACATGCTTGACGAGGGCGGAGGGTCGTCAACGGCGTTGTGATGAGAGAAGAGCATGATTGTTCTCCACGACAGATGCCACCCGCAGTGTGGCGTGGTTACGCTCCACAGAACATATCTACAAGTGGGAAAGTTCTGCGGCTGAAAGATAACATAATGGCACCGTTGCGCAAGCAGGAAGAGAGAACAACTGCATTGAAAGGAGGCAATTCGTGAGCAACTCAACGAAGAAGGACGTGAGCTACCGTAATCGTACTTCAACAACGCAAGCTTAAAAGGAACAGCGATCATACGAACGTGCGGGAATGGACTTGCGCACACCGGACTGACTGTCGTTATCAGCCGTGGGGGACCGACTTTTCTAATGTTGAACCTTTGGGGCTTCTTCTTCCCTCCAACATGCAATAACTGACTGACGCTAAGGAGAGGTCTGCAGACGAGACTCGATGAAACGCTACGCAGCAGCTGACTCCTACGGACGTCCGAGGTACAAGAGGCAATGAGCGCCATCTCGCCCGAATCCTCGACACACCGTCCACTGCTTCGCCATGCCCGCCTCCGAGACATCTCTATGTCCTCCACGGTATCGAATCGTACCAGCGGCGATACGGAGGGCGGGCAGCTAAACACAGCGCGCATGCGAAAGAACATCTTTACGCTCTAAGACCTTTGATCTGTCGCGTCTAGCGATGTTAGATTATCCCGTGTATCGCCGAGTATCGCCCGTTTCCGATTTCGAAATCGAGCCGAGGCCCGTGGAATTGTCTACTCAGCGAAGACGCCCAACGTCCCGCTCGCGCTGCCGCGCTCCTTCCAACTTTCGCTGTTGCTGTTGCTGTTGCGTTACGGGTGCTGCTAATCACCTCAGTGCCCCACTGCTCAATTGCCCTGTGAAGGTCACAGCTTATGTACGACCAACGAAAATGGCGGGGTCGAGGCGAGCGCGGAGGTGATGTGGTGAAAAACTCGCCTCCCGAAGCCGGCTGGCCAGGGACCCAGCGAGGGCGAACTCTACTTCGCGGGAGGAAAAGGGAACCGTGTGATCGAGATGGCACCCTTGGCTCTTAGACTGGAAAAATAAAAATTAAAAAACATGGCCCTCCGCTTCTTTGGTGGTTCCATCATTGGGCCTCGCTCCACTACTCACCAAATTTGCAAAATGAGAACGAATCTTTCGCTAGAGAACGAATCTGTGTTTGGCCCCCTCCTTTTTCTTTTTGAAATTTCCTCTCCTCCTCTTTCTGCCTTCTCGTCCCACTTCGGCAATGAGAAGTCCCTGAGGAGTTGCTCAACCAGCGGCTCCAACTCGAGCCTGGCCTGTTTGGGCCTTGCTCCACTACTCTATACGTGGGGGCGGAAAAAATTTGGCCATGTACTGTCCCCTGGCCGGTGTCCCCCACTGGGGGTTCCCTAAAGGCAATAAAGGCCACCCTGGGCTGAAAAGGCCACCCGGTGTCAGATTAGACACAAGATTGAATTTACCCGGGCTGGTTAGTCCAATGATTATTCCTCAAGAGTCAAGGCCATCAAAAAATGTTCTACCAGAAGATTCAGTTCCGTCTCATGTTACACCTTTTTTTGATGGAACTGAATCTTCCCCGTCGCCTCTGAAAAAGGTCATACGTTCACGTAGCTGTGGCTTTGGCCAGCCTTTGGCTCAGCTCTACTTTTCTTCTTTTTCTTCAACTAATCTAGACTTGACTAGCGTCAGATTCATGTCCGTCGGGTGAGATACATTTAGGAAAGTGGCACCTATGTGTACTTCCAGTTGGCCACGACTGCAGTAGCCGAGTTGTGATCAAACCACCTGGCCGGAACACGTCGACGATTGGCCCACCGAAAGAAAGAAAGCCACCTGTGCTCGATACGTCTGCTGGAGCCGGCAGGATCAGATGCGATTGGACCCGGTTACCAGCATTTCTCGGAGGAAGGACGAGCATAGTCGTGAGGCTGCCAGGGAACTGTGCCTTCTTAAGTTCGTGGGGGCCACTCTCCACAACATGGACCTCAGTGTTGTCCGATCTAGAATGCGAAGGACAAAGCTCCCTCTGGCTCCATTCCGCCTTTTTCACGCATGAACTGGTTTCTTCGTATTAGCCGGAGCTTGGGCCCTTCAAGTTGGTAGTATTTTCTTTCTACTTTTGAAAGCCCTTCTGCAAGGCCTCTATCCCAGTGTGTGGTAAGAGAACCACCGGAATTGACGCATTGCCTGTCCGGCTGCTTCATCTATTGGTGGGGAGCGGCACCTGCTGGAAACCGGGTCCAGCGTCCCTTGGATAAAACATCTGAACCCTTCCTAGTTCTAGAGCTCCTACTTCCTATTGACCCAGTCCCTACCTTGATAAGGTCCTCTTTCCATGCCACTTGAAAATACTTGAAGTGCACACTAAATGAGAAATTGTGATTAATTTACACTTACTTGATTTATGGCTCCATGTACACTTGATGAAACTCTTGAACAGGCTGCAGTTGAAATGGAACTCCAGGGCTTGACCAATCCTGGACCAGGATCGCCTGCTGGAAAAGAAGTGAAGGAAAAAAAAGCCCCACTTGGCATGCTGACGTTATCCGCTGGCACTTGAACTCAAGGTACCTCCGGGAGGTGACTTGAATTCAAGGGCCATTTCGACTGTGTTGCCCTTGAGTTCCAAGGGCGCACCCTCGAACTCAAGGGGTGTGGAACGAGGCCCTAATTGCAAACTATTATTGCAAACTATGTCCTCCTATAATTCAGTCCAAGGACAATTCCAGGTATCCGCAGCCCCCCTTGTTGCCTACATTCCTGATATGGCAGTCATCCCCTCCCTGTGACGAACCATTTTCTGTAATCGCGCCACTTTCTGCGCGAAGCTGCCTACGGGAAATGGATGGGTTGGATGGGTGAACCGTGAACAGAGGGGTCGAGCGGGCGAGTTGCATGGATGCCCTCGTTTCTTTTCGTTTTCTGTAGAAATCTGTCGGGACAGTGCCGGGAAAGTCCCTGCGCCAACAATTGGGTAACTGCGCCTTAGTGAGCGCGATGGACAACGGTTGCCATGGCTTCTTTCTTGTTCAGCTGTGAGCACTAGGGAATTTTGGCACGATCCTCGCACGGGAAGATCGTTTTTTTATTTTTTTTTTATTTTTTTATTTTCAACTGATGTCGAGCCCCCACGGGCTCGCAGAATTCTTTTTTGGGGCTCTTAGGAATTTCCTTTTTGCAATTAGGATTTAGGCTAGGAATTTAGGTACTCCTAATGTTGTTGTGCCATGCTTGCGCGCATCTTGCGGCGCTGGGAACTGGGCTCTGACTGGATCGCGCCCTTAATCTCGTGCAACTATCGCTTTTGGCGGGCGCGATTGCAACTGTATCTTCCTTCTTTCTTGATTTCCTCGTGTTTGTCTGCCTTCTTCTTCTTTGTCTTGCGTGCTTAATACTCCATTCTAATTGGCCTGAGTGCCTGCGTTACCGGATCGATGCGTGGAGTGCGGCTACGACCCCCACGCCCCGGCCTGGCCATGTAGATGTAGGCACTTCCTCTCTCCTCCTTCTGACCACTTGGGCTTAATCCCGTATCCTTCACGCGAGCATGCATGCTATAAATTTCGCAAGAGTGATTAGTTTGCTCTCTATGAACCTTGGGGTTAGCGTGATCAGTGAGGGTCGGCTAACGAATCAGCTGGAAGAGGTGAGTCGATGAAAGAGTTAGGCGATCCGACGAGCTGGTGTCGGGTATGCGGGGTTGATGTGCGGGCCGCGACGGACCGTGGCACACAGGCGAACCTGGCTTGCATGCTCGAACCAAGAGGGGTGACAACTCTGTGTTGATGCGAGGCGATGGACTGCCCCCATCAGGGAGTGTAGCGAGAGAAAAAGAGAGAGCAACTGTGTGTGGGATGAGGTCTCTTCTCCCCTTTATCTGTATAATTTTGGTTTCCATTTTGGTCGATCTTGTTGCAGCCTTTTTTGGACTTTCCGTGTAAATCGTCTCGGATTTTCCTCATCGTTTTTGCATCGTGCGTATGCATGGAATGGATGTGAACTCCTTCCCTTTAGTGCTCTTTTTGGATTGCCAATCTTGTTTTGCGATGCCTGTTTAGTACACATTTTGTCACCTTCTATTATCCATCTGCATGAGCAATACTCTCATATCTGATTGGAAGCTCTCGCTACTGATGTTTGAGTCTAATCGTTAGACTTCGATCGTCACGAGATCACCAAGAATGTTGTGAGGAGTTGATTGTCCTTTTCCCCTTTCTCTCCTTTTAGTCACATGAATGACATGGGTATGAATGTAATGTCTTGATCCCACCCCATATAGCATGAGTAGGATAGTTGCATGCAGGACGAACGCAATCGGTACACCGAACCAAGGAGTGATCTGCTTTCGCTCATGTGCACGCTCACGTACGACTGCGATCGTGAGAAAACCGAGTCGCAGCGTACGCGCGCGTCTGCACAAGCCGATCCCGACCCTGACTCATTACGAGGATGCGGGAGATCGAGTTCACTAATCGGACATGGCCGTAAGAACCCCCTCTCGGATCATCAATCGTAAGAGCCTAAGGGACCCGGAGTATCACGAATACTAGGAGGGTGAACAGCTCAGACGGCGGGGAAACTCGAGAAAATCGGAATTCCCCTGTCTGAGGGAACACGATCGACTATGCGCACGGGACTTCCACTGAGCCATAACTTACGATCCCTGGGGCCCGGACTACTCGGATATCGACAATACTCAATATAACATATCTCCGGGCTTCGTCGTTATTGCTACCAGTTGTCCTCCCTTCCATCTCATCCTCCCATACCACCAGCTCACAGTGGTGCCGTGAAACTCCATAGCTCGCTATTGGCCCCTCACCTCGTGCGCAAAGGTGCCAGCAACACCAGGCGTATCGAGCAGCGAAAATTACCCGGCAACCGAAACCGGGAGCGAGTGGCACCAACATCTGATCGAGCTGCACAGTAGCTACTGCGACCCACTGGTTCACCAGATGAGGAACCAACCACCGTGACGCAACTGGCAGAGAAGATAATCCTAGAAACGGTCTTCGCGTACCATCTTACACCACTACCCTTAAACTTGCCACTGGAGGT